AGTTAACCCGACCGGTCTGTCAGCTGAACTAACATATCGCTTTTTGGTGGTGCATCACGTCACGTATTTGGACGTTCAGCCAATAGTCCGTCTCTCTTTTGGCTAAATACATATTCCATTCGTCAGCCAGCTAATACTTCTTTGCAGCAGGACCTGTATTAGATGCTAAAATTTCTTCTTTCCTTTCGAATATGGGTTTCGAACTGAACTCATCCTTCAGATATTCATGTTCATACACTAACTATTAACATGTTGACTGACTTAAAATACGTCCATGCCCCTTTAATCACCTTTTAAATTTCAGCGATTTCTTTCGCATGCCTGAAGGTCATGAAATTATATCACACTCTCTACTCACTACTTCAGTCAAACGCTCAGATTACTGTCAGTTTGTCATATTATTAGCACGGCTACTTAAGCACTTAGAATGAACTCTATCTTGACCAGTCTCTGCTGTTGTTTTGTTCCCGTTTTAAATTAACCATAAGCGGCAAATATAACACTTTCCTCCTTCCTAGGTGATTCTGGTGGGAGAGTAACGTAGGGGATGAAAGAAGTTTATTAGTTCAAGTGAAACTGTCTGTTGTGGTGACCGTATTTTAGAAACCGATTTTTCTGTTGAAATGTTCCTCCAAATAATCGGCCGAAGACTGGTTATGCTGTGGGAGAGCAATGGTGTTTATAGACTTTTATGGGGGAAAACCTAGTCAAACAAACGGAAGGCTACTCATTCAAAAAGTAAAGAAGGTCTTGCAAGTCATAAAGGAGATGTAGTTCCAATTTGGTTGCCCGCCCTATCCTTCCAAACAGCGCAGTTAACTACCACAGCTGAGTAGTCATAAAAAACCATGTTGCAGAGGCCCCACGGTACATTTCTGTGTTTCCTTCATATCAGCATTGATAGATGCCCCCTTGATCACCCGTAAAGTTTATATTATCCCTTCTCTGATTGCGCCCGTGTTGATGGTAGGCTGGTCGTTATGTTAGGCAGGCCAGGCAGGGAGTACGGCCAAAGGTCAAGCAGGATAGATGGCCACAGGCCATTCATGGGTGTTGTTTCTAGCTGAAGGCAATCAGAAACGAGCCGGAAGCCATTAAAGCAGATTATATAACTGGTTTCCTAGAGCCCCACTCAACGAGCTCTTTTGCATATTTTCACCCAGTCACCATTCCCACCTGAATGTTTGTTAGGTACTAGACCTTGTCTACCTCTCAGGGTCACTGTTATGCACTATAGAACTAGGATAACCGTTGATTAGTGCATATGACCAGTTGTAAATGCTCACTGCTACTCATCAAGTCTCTGGACCATGTAGAAGCACTGATCTCACACTAGCGTTGTAAGTTAGAATCTAATGTCTTGTATTACATGCCGTGGCTTATTACCCTGACTTCAGATTGGCGAAAGCCTGTCTCGCTTCACTGATCCTGGCCAGGTTTGAAATCTTCATCTACGTCGCCTGTAACTGAAACAATGCTTTCTATTTCAGATTTCTGCTGATGGTAACTAGCACGTTTTGTTTTCGGTTAGGTTTCTTCACCATCTCCATATTCTGTCACAGTTCTTCTGTGTCTCTTCAGATAACCCATAGATCTTCTGTCACTCGTCTCTTAGACCGTGCGATCTGAGATACAAATCTTTGTAGCAGCTAACAGTTTACTTAGTGACGCCAAAAAACTTTTCGAAGTAGATGAACTTGAACCAAGTCGTTTACTATCATTCTTGACTGTTCGACAATAATGCATAGTACTGCGGTTTTGTGCGCGTATTGCTTGTTTTGCGTTAATACACCATATTCCGGTATCGGTGTTTCACCTAACACACCTTTTTTCTCCTTCAGGATGATGCGATTTATTATACTGCGTGTTGTAGATGGGAGTAACATTCCTCGAATTTGCTGCTAAGTGCTGAATCGCTTTTCTTTTCAGCTTGACAACGTAATCTTCCTTCCAATCTTCGGGTCCCGTATCCCCCTAATACTTTTCTCAGCAGTGGTGTGAGCATACAGCCCTAGGCATTTGAATTCGTTCCCAACTATTCTCTGGGATGACTTAACCGATGTCGGCTATGATGAAATCCTGTAACCAGCGAAGATTTTGCTTAAAATTGGATAATTTCACTCAGTTTACTAAGTCCTGAGTCACAGTGAGAAAACAACTGCTTCATCACCTAGATGCAACCCATAATTTCAGCTCGTCAAAACTTATTATAAACCATTCATTTCAGAAATTTTAATTTAGTCAGTTTCGTCGTTATACGCGCAAAAGACAGTGTAGCGGTAAATAATTCCCCAAAATTATTTAACCACAGCAATCATCACTCAACATTGGATGCTGACCACCACTGTTTAAGTCGACTTGTTTAGCTGAAGGCTTACGGTCAAGCATCCCCGCCATTTGGTGCTTCGTCGTGTCACGTGCGTGCACGATTACTAGCTAGCTAAGCATTCATTCCTACCCGCGATTTGGTCCCAAAATATATATCGTATTTGGACGACAAAATCTGGTCTTTTGCTTTACCATTTGGTACTCGAAGAACGAACACTATAGTGGTTGTTGGTATAAGATCTTGCGTTAGTATAATCCGTACAACTCGCGAACGTCGATACCGTCAATCCCTAAACTGGTGAGCCCAACCACGAACTACATCTTCAATTCACACGCAGATAATCCCGGTGAGTTCGTTTCTTTTTGTGTTTATTCTTGTACTATATTGTTATCGGCACACTTTTCGTCATGAGTGATCCTAGCCCCAAGGTTATTCAGATTCGCTCAACCGCCAAAACAATTCAGCTAGTACCATTTTGGCCAGATAATGCTGAAACGTGGTTTCAGATTGCTGAGTCCGATTTTTGTGAACATGGCATAACTGATCAACGTTCACAGTTCCTTGCAGTTATTCACGCCCTACCGCGGGAATTCAGCAAGTGCGTAACTCTGCAGATGTCGGTAAGTAACTCGTACGAGTTGCTAAAAGCATCCATCCTCAAGAGAAACGTTCTCACAGATCGACAACGTCTGGATGAGTTATTTCGTAACATCGAGTTAGGAGATCAGTCAGCCGTGAGCATGCTGGCAAGAATGAAAGAGATCATTGGGCAAAGTCAGTTCGATGAAGGACTGTTTAGAGAACTATTTATATCCAAACTGCCACAGTCAGTTCAGACTGTACTTGTGACACTTCAGGGTGTTCTCATAGATGATTTAGCTGTCTCTGCAGATAGAATTCTAGAGATAACGAAACGGCCAGTTACCGAAGTATACTCAGTTACCGAACAGGCTTCGAAGAAGGATTCGGCAATGATAGAGTTAATCAACTCCGTCCAGCAGATGCTTAGGTCAAACAAGCCT